AGGTCAAGATGTTATCTTTAGCCTGCCAGAGGTCGGGACCCTTTGACCTGTGACCACTAGTCAGGTCCTGGCTACTGTTTTCTGCTGCCTGGGGAGGGGGAGGGGTGAGGGAAGGAGGGAGGGAGAGAGAGAGAGAGAGAGAGAGAGAGAGAGAGAGAGAGAAATTTCTCTCTAGAGGGATTTCTAGAGCTAGAATTTAAAACTAAATTTAATCAGTCAGAAGGACCCCCGGTTTCAGTTTGAATGTAATGATAAGACACTGATTCAACCCTGCAGGAGCTCCCCTCTACGGGAGAAGGCAGATAACAATAGTGCTAGCAGCTAATGTCTACTAAGTGCGTATGTGCCAGACACTCTTCTAAATACCTTAATATTTACATATTGGTGCTTTCATTCTTATAGTAATCTATGAGGTAGATTATCCCAATGATTATTTTTATTTTTATTTTTTTTAAAGAAGTTGGATTTTATTTTTTTTATTTTTTTATTTTTTTTATCCTCACCCGAGGACATTTTTCCATTTTTTGTTCAGATAGAGCGGGAGGGAGAGAGAGATCGACGTGAAGGGACACATCGAGTGGCTGCCACCCGCACCACCAACCAGGGCCGAGGACAAACTGCAACCGAGGTACGTGCCCTTAGCGGGAACCGAACCCGGGTCTCTCTGTACCGCAGGTCGACGCTCCAACCACTGAGCCAAACCGGCCAGGGCCCCAATGATTATGTTGTAGTCTGTTTTCCTGGTCACAGAAGGGTGTACCGCCCTCTGTTGGAGCCATGTGTGTGGCATGGTAATGGATTTGTTTGTACATGTAATGGGTAAGAACTTGGGTGCTGGATTCAGATTCTCTGGGTTCAAATCCCAGCTCCACCAATTACGGGCAGCATATTTGATCTTTCAATGCCTCAATTACTTCATCTGTAAAATGAAGATAATCATGCTTATTACTGTGAGAAAAAAATTGAATATGTATATAGCACTTAGAACAGTGTCTGACACATAAACTGCTAATAAATGTTAGCTGATATTATTATTGTTGTTGTTGTTTGTCTTCTCCTATAGATTGGGCGCTCCTTGAGGGCTGAGTCACTAACTTATTAATTTTTGTATCTACAACTCTCAACCCAGGGCCTTTTACAGGGTAGAAATAAATAATTACCTGTTAAACGAAAGGACAAACTTATGAGTGTTCACATGTTTCAAGGTGGTGAAGGAGGTTATTGTTGGGGGGCCTTCATGAGAAGACATCAGAATCCCCCAAGGATGATGACAGTAGATGAATCTGGGCCCTTCTAGAGCAGATGGAGTCCAAGAAACAGTAAATATGAGAACCAGAAGGGACTTCACAGACTATAGTTTTTTAGTTCATGTGATTTCCTGTGGTCGTGCAGCTTCGTGGCATTGGAGGAAATTTGTAAGGGAATATGGGCCTTTTATCTTAAGCTCAAAACCCACCCCATGGGAAATTGGACAGAATGTTTTATTTTGGTTCAATTTCACAGAGCTTTATTGAATGCCAAGTGCATTATGCTAAGCTCCTGAAAGACAGAGGCGAGATGAACTCGAGGAGAAACTGAAAAGCCAAGTGAGAACAATGGAAAGACAGTTCTTTAGATCAAATCTGTTGAGGTCATATTTGGGTTATGACTCTGGGCCCTCAAGTTAAAGGGAGCCCCTCTTCCCCCATGCGAAATGGCAACTATGAGAGGAAGCGGAGGTCAGTTTCCACTGGGACGTTATACGGTAGATGCAGCAGGATCCTGGAGAAAGTGTCTTCATCTCCCCAGCGAAGGTAATATCTCCCACCACCTTACTCAGAAACACCCCCAACCCAACCCAGCCCCTCTCGTGGGCTGGGAGAGTAGGAGAGTGGACAGTTATTGCTGAGTATACTTTTGCCCTGGTTAAGGCACAACTGTAAATTCACATAATATAGATCCACCGGTATGACTGGAAATGCACAGCATAGCTCCAGGGTGGGAAAATCATAGCTCTCCCAGTGCCATTTATCTTCCACCTGGGGAGAGTTCAGCATTAAGCATCCATTATTTATTCGGGAGGCTGGGGATGTAGGGAGGAAGGGCGGTGTGTGGGTAGCAACCAGCATTGACAGGGAAATGTAGGAGGCAATGTAGTGCAGCAGGACGTACAGGGACAGCAGCTGGGAGAGTCAGGCTCTGCCACTACACCTCTGGGCAACTCTGGCTAAGTTACTTAACTACTTGGGCCTCAACCTTCTCATCTGTAAAATGGGCTTGAATTGAATGGTCTCCAACAGTCCCTTCAGGCTCTGAAATTGAGTTCAGAATGTTCTGTGCATTGTGAAGAAAATGTTTTTCAGAAGCTGCATTCACTACCCTAGAAGGTATCACCAGGCCTCCAGGAAGCACATTTCCCTAAAGAACCCCAATGCAGAAGAGCCCCAGTGTACCCCTCAGCCCTGGGTTTGTGGGGTTTGTGGGCACGCCTCCAGGCATGCAATGTCTTTGAGTTCTTATTATCACAATGGTAGTTTTGCTTTCTACTCCATAATTTATCCTTGCTTTGTTAATATAAAAATAGTTGATGTTATATTCTAAATTACTTGCTGTAGTGCTTGTTGATAAATCTAGACTGGAAGGTTGACAGAGAACCTTATCTTTTGATCTTGAACTATAGACAAGCCCTAACCCTGGCTGATTACAGGAAATATTTAATTTCTTTTGTGTTCTTTTTGTATTTTTTATTTCTTCTTTTATGAGCATACTAAAGAAAAGGAAACACATTTTTAAAATATGAAAAATAACAAAAGTCTGGCCTTCTGTGTATAGATTTTAAGGAGGAAAGGACTTCCCTTTAGGAATGAGTTCCCTGATGATGTTTCCTTGTTATTTATTCTCATATATTGAAGTACTTTATGCATAGTCAGTACATGAGAAATATGTGCAGTTGAATGAGTCAAAGCAATTATAATGACAATTATGATGATCATCAGCATCTCCTATTACTGTGTTTTTACCATGTGCTCCTGTTCTAAAATCTGTACATGTATCATCTTATTTAATCCTTACAAAACCCTTGGAAGCAGCTCTTATTATTATCCTCATCCTACAGGCAAGAAAACTGAAACAGCGAAAAGTTCAGTAAGTTCCTGGTTGGAACGGCTGCTCTGCCGTCTTGTTCCCTTCCGGCTTACCTGCTAGCTGGCAGCTGTCTGCCCGGCCCAGCAGCCGCGTGGCTGTGTCTCGTTAGCAGTCGTGTTTCTGGCTTCTGCACTGAGGCTTCTTGGTCACTGTTCCCTGGGACATCTGTGGGAGCCCATTCCACCCACTTGGCACCCACACAGATCTCAGTGCGAGGACAGTCTCTGGGGCACCCTTGACTAACAGAGGATCAGAGTCAGAGGCCAATACGCTCCCTGCCTATTAGTCACTTAGCAGCCCTGTACGTTATCAGATCAGGTGTTAGACACAGAGAGGGAGAAAGAGACCACTTTCACATAAATTTTATTATAGTATATTGTTATAATTGTTCTATTTTGTTATTAGTTACTGTTGTTAATCTACTGTGCCTGATTTATGAATTAAATGTCATCATAAGTGTGTATAGAAAAAAAACAGTATATACAGGGATGAGCAAAAGTAGGTTTACGGTTGTTCGTATGGAAAATAATACAATACTTAATAAGTAATAATGCAAAGATAAACTCTGTGTTATGTGTACTCACAACTGTAACCTACTCCCCCCCCCCCCCCCTCCATGTAGAGTTCAGTACTGTCTGTGGTTTCAGGAAGCCACTAGGGTCTTGGGATATATCTCTCATGGATAAAGGGGGGACTACTGTACTTAAGTAATGGATGGAGAGCAGGGTGGCAAACTGATCTATGCCAATTTATACTCACAGAACTCCCAAGTTCTTTTAGCCAACAATGGTAGCCAGAAGCACGCTTGAAACGGTTATGGATTAACTACTTTCCCACAGCCTCACCATTGGGCTATTGCAAAAGCCAGTCTCGGACCAAAATCTGCCACAAATGAAGACTCGTTAAATAATCATTCATTAACAGCCCTGGCTGGGTAGCTCAATTGGTTAGAACATTATCCTGATACGCCAAGGTTGTGGGTTTGATCCCCATTCAAGGCACATATAAGAATCAACCAGTGAATGCATAAATAAGTGGAACAACAAATTGATGTCTCTTACTCTCCCTACTTTCCCCTTCTTCTCCCCCTCCCTTCCTCTTTCCCTAAACAATCAATCAATAACAAAAATGTAATAAAGTAAGCATTCATTAGCAGGCAGCCATGAGCCAGTCTGTGCAGCCTGCTCTGGAAGCTGATGAAGTCCTAGCTCTCTGGCCATAGATACTGCAGCTGTTCCCTAAATGAAAGGTTCACTGGAGAAAGGCAGGAGGACATTCGAGATACTGGGTCTCAAACTTCATCAGGCATCAGGATCTCCGGGTGGGTTTAAGGCACAGCTGCTGTGCCCGTCCCCCAGAGCTTCTGATTCAGTGTGCGTCACACCTTGAGATCAGTGATCTCCAGGCAGGTTTTGTTATTGTTTCTGAAATTAGCATTAGGCAACCAGCAATGTGCTGGACCCAGGACCATTTGGAGAGGTAGTCTAGAATCTAGAGGGCCAACCTTTGGAATATAGACTACAGAATGTTCTAGATTCTTTTGCCTAAAAGGCATAAGGGCAGAGAAGGTCCCCCAGAGGTTTTAGAACACCATTAATGTTATTAATGAAAAGCCACTTCCCATGGTCATTATGCTAATTTGCCAAACCTGTGGCACTGCTTGAGCTGTGGGTAACTGAAGTGCCCAGGGATAGCAGGATGGCCTTACTGATACAGTGACAGCTGACTACCCTATCGTGTGAATTTCTGGACAGGGCACCTAAGGTGTAATTCAAATCAGCACCGTCCAAGCTGAACATTTTTGAGTACATTACTGGCAACACTAATGGAAAGGGAAGTCAATTAACATGTCTATGGGCTTTTGTTTGATCCCACAGACTGAGCCTGAAATCATAGAGGAAACCAACGTTGACAGAGTTAACGAGCCCCGGGGCTACGCCAGGTCTCGGCAGGTGAAAGGCCACTCGGAGACCTCCACGCTCAGCTCCCAGCCCTCCATCGATGAGGTCAGGCAGCAGATGCACATGCTGCTGGAGGAGGCCTTCAGCCTGGCCTCGGCGGGCCACGCGGGCCAGAGCCGGCACCAGGAGGCCTACGGCTCAACGCAGCACCTGCCCTACTCGGAGGTGGTGACCAGCGCTCCGGGGACCATGACGCGGCCCAGGGCTGGGGTGCAGTGGGTGCCGACTTACCGCCCAGAAATGTACCAGTACAGTCTGCCCCGGCCGGTAAGTCAGACATCCTGCCTGCCTGCTATTAGCAAGTCAGTCCTGCCCAGAGTGTCCCAACAGGGCTTTCAAGGGGGGTGGGGGGGACTTCTAGTGATAAAGCATCTTGAGATTTGGAGATGGAACTTTGCTGGGCTCTCATCCGGTCCTCCACCCATGTCCAAGCCTAAGCCATTTAGTCCTATGGGCACAGGCACACAGGAATACATTTCAGGATGAATTTCCTTTCCTATTATCTCTCCTGTGAAGGGCTGACCTCATTCTTCATGCACTGATGGTTTCCTACATTTCCAAGTGTGAGGGCCTATTTTAAATGTCAAAACGCATCGCAGAGCTGCCTGTTAGGGGGTCCGTGTAGCCTGGTGGTTCAGAGCAGACGCTCAGAGGCAGGGGGTTTGACTTTGAATCCCAGCTCTACCATTCACTGGCTTTGTCACTTGGGGACGTTACTTAAATTCTCTACAGATGAAATTAACAAATAAAAATAATCTACTTCCCAGGGTTCTTGTAAAGATTAAACGAGTCGATGCATGCAAGATACCAGAAGAATGCAGGCACATAGTACATGCTACAGAAGTATCAGTTGTGATTATTTCATTTTGTGATAACTGCACTTCAGTGTTGAGAAAGCACCCAGTGACAAAAAGCTTCCCTGATTTAAACAACTATTTTAATTAGTTTGCATTGTGTTCATTATCATGGCATCCACATCTATCTCTTTTAAAAGACAGACTTAATTTTGTAAGCCATAGACCATAATAGACAATGCTTTGTGCATGTATAGATTCCACCCTTGTAATATTTCATGGCCTATCATTAATAGAGTTTTATAAATTGTCATAGTGATATGTAATTACATAATAAAAACTAACATTTATTGAGTGCTTCACTGTTGCAAGGTACCGATCTAGGTGTCATGTGTATGTTACCTCATTTATTAGTTCTTACTACAAGCCTCTGACACAGATACTGGTTTTATCCCTATTTTACAGATGAGGAAACTGAGGTTGCACAACTTGTTCAAGTCACACAGCCGGAAAGGGGCAGAACTAGGGCCCAAAGCCAGGCAGTCGGGTGCCAGAGCCCATATTCTTAAGCAGTTGCCTTTCTGCTCTGCGCTGTGTTACACTGCCATCCATATTATTTCTTCCACTTGCTGTAGACTCTTTGGGACACCTATGGGCTTGTAGAGCCCTGGAATAACACTGAACCACCCTCCACCTGCCCAAAGCCCACACGGCACTGGCACTTAATAAATTGCTGTTATGCTGTGTAACTGCATAGTCTGCACACCATTGTGAATTTCCTTACTGTTCTCCTTTGCTCCAGATCCCCCTTCACCCCCAGATCACTGAGGTCTTCCCTTGACACTGCTCCTAATCCCCTCTGTCTCTCTTTCTCTGTCGGTGCCCTCTCTTGGAATGTTCTTCTCTAGACTAACCTGCCCCTGTTGAGTAAGCTTTAGCAGGAGAGGCCAGAGTTTATTTGAAACTTAACCTCTGGGGCAATGGTGGCTGTGCTTGGGTGGGGTCACCATCATTGCAGGCCCTTGTCAGGTACAGAATTTCTGTTTGGTGCCTCTGCTTCAGGGTGGTCAGATCCTGAGACTCTGACTCGTGCTGATTAAGCTCAGAACAACTGCTTTATTGTTAAGAATACTAACTCACAAACCTGCAATGAGAGGCCAGATGACCAGGTGGGCCAGGTTTGTTTGCTGGTCAGCAGTGCCTTTCATTAGTAAATGGGCAGTTTGGGGAAAGTGAGATATTATCAGAACAACTGGGTGGTCTTGAAGTCATCGTTCCTAGTCGGCAATAAATTATACCAGAGTATAGTCAATAAAGGAAGCAGGATGAACACGGGGCATCCTTTTTTGTTTGCATCTCATTTTCTGAAATCTGGGTGGAATAATGCAAAATTCTTAATATAATATTAAAGTGAACACAGAAGGCTTTAGGGCAATGCCCAGATCTCAGCAACACAACTTTGCCTCTGCTCTCAGGGAACTTGGCTGGACACAGTCAAGAGGGGCTGCCTCCCAGAAGCGAGTCGGCACCTCGGGGGCCACCACTGGCCCCGCTCCCATCAGTCTAGCGTCCAAATCCTTTTTCAGAAAATTTAAAAAATTCTCACTGTACTTACAAATCTATCACCTTAATATACTTTTCCATGACAGTCATATTACACTTTTCCACTAATTGCACATTAAATTAGTACCTACTTTAATGGGGGAAGAAGGGATTTTCTCACTGAGATTTAGAAAACACTCTAATGTTATCACACACGGGGTGTGGCAAAAGTAGGTTTACAGTTGTGAGCACATGAAATCCAGTTTATTTGTATTATTATTTATTAATGGTTGCATTATTTTCCATATGAACAACTATAAACCTACTTTTGCCACACCCTGTATGTACTACCTCTTGAGTGTCTGTCCCCTGGGAGAAGTGGCCTGTATCCATTCTGTATCGATTCACACTGACGTCGGTTTCATTGGTTCATCCTTCCTGAGCTCCATGCACTCGCCATGTCTCAGGATTTCCCCCCCTCTCCCGATGAGTGACCTTGGCCAGTGACTACACCTCTGAGCCTCAGATTCTTCAGTCATAAACTGGTGACAATAAGATGCCGTGGAAAGGATGAAATCTGCGTAAAATGCTTAGCACCGTCCTGGCACCAAGCGAGCATCTGATCTTTGTTTGCTGAAATTAAAGTGCTTCGTGTGGTGCCTAGCACACTGAATTACTCGATAAATGATAGTCATTAACATGAAAATATTCTCTCCTTTTCACTGGGTTCCACTGGTAATATCCCTTTCCCCCGACAGTTCTGAGATGACATCTTCTCCTCCTACTCTGGGACATTCCTTCCAGAGCATGCTCTGGGTGCCCAGCTCTGAGTTCCAGAGAAACTGCACTTGTGTTTAAAGATGATTCTCAAGAACTACTGGACCCCTCTGGCTGGAGACCAGATTCTGGGCATCGTGAAGAGATCTGGGTTTCAGAGAGAATTACTTAAACAGGATGAGTCTTCCAACCAATGACAGGCAAGAAGATGCCACAACCATATCCGTTATGCTCAATTTAACAAAATCACCTAAAAATTTCATTGTGGGATATATGCACACTTAGATGGTTCCATTTGTCACAATATGGGGTTGGTGGTTGTGCCAAGAAGGACAAAAACATCAGCATGACGTACTGGAAAAATGAGGGCAGGAAAAGGCTTGAGAAATAACGCAACAGAGAGCGGGGCCATCCAGCCAGACCAAAATCAAAGGCAGTTCTTTGGTTATTAAGATTTGTTTGTTTTCTTTTGCTAATAGCACATGTGGCCCGATTTTCATGAAAGGAGAAAATAGGTAACAATACATAGTAGAAATGATGGTTCTTAACCCAAGTTCTTACTGAGCCCCCTTGTGCCATGATAATGAGGAAATCAATAGAAAAGGGGGCAATTTAGAAGGATAACTATGATTACTTTTCAGCTTCCCAAAAGGAAGCGCTCTGAGTTCTGCCGGAGGATAATTGGAGGCTGGCGGTTCCATGCTGATGGCATTTATATCATGGAAAAGGTTACTGCTGGCAGCTTGGGATTTCTGTAATGCATTTTAAGAGCTCTTTGATCATGTTTTACCCCTAAATCTGTGAAGAAACTGGACTCAATACCTAGTGACCAATCGAATTTCGCCAGCAGCCATCATGGGTCTGTGCCAAGTGGAGGGAAAACATCCATGGCCTTCCTGGTGGTGTCAGAGGAGGGGATTCTGAGAAAGCCACAGGTTATATCTCCCCCTACAAGTGCTAGAGGCTTTACAGAGGAAACTAACAGTAATAACAATAATAACAATAACAACAGCCCTAGATGGTGTGGCTCGGTGGATAGAGCATCGACCTGCAGACCAAAGGGTCTTGAGTTCGATTTCCAGTCCAGGGCACGTAGCTGGGTTGCAGGTTCGATCCCTGGCCCCAGTTGGGGTCATGCTGGAGGCAACCAATTGATGTATCTCTCTCATATCGATTTTTCCCTCTCTTTCTTTCCCTCCCTCCCTTCCACTCTATCTAAAAATTCAATGGAAAAATATCGTTGGGTAAGGATTAAGAGCAACAACAAAAAGAACAAAAAACAGTCTGTTGAGCTTCCTGTGTACCTGGCACTAAGCTAAGGTATTACCTCTTATCATTTAACAACCACCCATGAGGTCAATTTTATTATCCCTGTGTACTCAATTGGAGAAGTAAAGAAACTTGCCCAAGGTTACACAGCTGTGAAGGGAAGAGCTGGGGTTAGAACCTCGAGCTGTCTAACTTCACAGCCCACGCTCTTTCCAACCCCCTGGCCTGCTGGCCGTAGGGAGGTCCTGCAGGCTCTGATGAGAACTCGAGTCTGCAAAACTTCAGTGTGATCTTCTCATAAGGAAGCTCACCCAATTTGAGGGGATTCTGTCCTTCCCTTTCATTGCCCCCTGTAAGGAAGACATGTCTGTTAGGATGAAATTGAGAATTTTATTCTTTTTTTTTCCTTCTCTCCCCTCAAAAACAAAGCAAAATAAAAAGACCTCTCCCCAAACCTGTGCTCACAATGAGCTGTGCAGACATACCAGCTACGAGTTTGCACCCACCACAGCGCTCGAGTTCAAGAAGTGTTCATTTCTTGCGTTTCTCCAAATCAAATTGGAATCTGTTCTGAGTGTCCCTCTGTCTAAGTAGGTGGGGAACTCAACATCAGTTGTCATTGAACTCCCTTCATTTTTGGTTACACCAAAGTCACTGGTGGTTTGATGAAGTTGGGTCACCAGGAGAGGGTCCATCCCCAGGCACTGTTCATGGGGCATGGTCCAATTCTAAGGAGTCATGAAGGTGGGTCATTCTGTCATGCCTGGATCCTTGCCTTTGGACTGCCCTGAGAAATTCCTTCTGAAAACCAACTGAGCACCCCCTTCTCTGTTTTGGGAAAGTTACGTGCTTACTTATTGGTTTGTTGATAATAATGGAATGCAAAGCTGCAAGGACATCTAGGACAATGATTTTCACATTTTCAGCAAAACCTTAAGGTTCAGGAAAGTCCCCAGGCTATCACTGTGCAGGTAAGTGAAGGGCCAAATTCACCAGGGCATGCACCACCCCCCCCCCACACACACACACACACATACACACACACCTCAGCAAACTACAATAAAACCATGAGCTGAAACCAGGGCTGGAAATAGTGAGTAGTAAGCAAATCTGAAAGGTGGAGTCCTTGAGATTTCCCTTATATCTTGCACTTCCCACTGCGCTTAAAAGGTATGTTTTACCCAGTGGGTTGGCCCTTATACGTACGTGGTTGCCATAATGCTGAAGGGAGAAGACTCATTCAGTTTAAAGAATCCTAGTTTATGGATTCTCTCTACTGCTGCTTTTTGTCGTGATGCCTTCCGTTTTAGTCTTGTTATCTGGTTCCCCAAGAGATCTGGCAGGCCATGACACCTAAAGAAAAAGGTGAATGAGAAGCACAAGGCAAGCTTTGTCTCTCTAGAGAGCATTTCTAGATTTTCTCTTGCTGAGAAGGCTGTGGCCTGGCTCTCTGATCCTGCCTGTCACTGACTGTCATCTTCTTATCCCCTCAAGTGTTGATTGAAGTCTTCACTTTCGCGAAATTCCAATCCTTTATCTTTGAATAGTACTTTATAGATTGCAAAATACTTACACATACCCTCACTTGCCTGATCTTTGCAGTAACCCCCTGAGCAAGGTATCTCTGCTCCATTTCAGAAGAGGACACTGAGGCCCAGAGAGTCCCCTGATTTGCTCAGGGACATAACATCTATTAATCAGCAAGCAGGCCCTCCACCCATACCTCCTGATTACAAGCCCACGGCTTTCCCCTGTTAAACTTCATTTCCGAGGGTGAGAAAGTAAGACACGATCAGTGGCTCATGCATCTAATATTTATTGATCATCTTTGATATACCAGGCATTGTTCCAGGAGCAAGGATACAGCTGGCAACAAAGTCCCTGCCCTTGTTACAGTCTAGGTGGTGGCAGATAATAAATAAACAAGCGATGTTAAAGGCGCACCAGGGAGAAGCAGCAGCACGTACAAAAGCTCAGGCGGGGAAGAACTTGGCACATTCAGTTGCCACGAACACTTTGCCAAAGAGCAACTGAAGGACTCCGTGGCCACAGTGTCCTGAGCAGAGTGGAGAGCGGTAGGAGATGACAAAGAGGGGCTGGAGACCATGTGAAGGAAGATCTGAGGGGGAAGTTTGAGGAAGGAAGGAAAGCCTGCCCCTCGGAAATTTGCTTCCCATTTAAATAAGAACCTGTGTGTTGATCGACTCTGGATTTGAACAGATCTCCCTCTATTTGCTTGTCTCTTTCACAGGCCTACAGGTTTTCCCAGCTTCCGGAAATGGTCATGGGCTCTCCCCCTCCGCCTGTACCTCCCCGGACTGGCCCTGTGGCGGTCGCTTCTCTCAGGCGGTAACACGTTTCCTTTCTTTGCTTTGTTTGGAATATGTGGGAAGGATGTGCTCCTGTGTACCCCACTGGCAACTTCCTTCTGCTGCGCCCATTCTGTGCAACACCTGTACAGACAACCATGTGCCCTGGGTACCCCGAGTACCAGGAGGGGAGTGGGGGACACAGAGGGCTGACTTTCTTGTCATTGTAAATAGAAAGTCTTGTAGAAGCCACAATTGAAGAAACCCAGTGTCAACTACCCCATACCCTGAAAGCTCCGTCTCTGATCTCGAACATCTAAACATTACTCCAGCTCGGGCACCTCCTGCCATGTGTGCACATCCAGGAGACTGTCTGTTATTCGGGGTGGTGTCCAGGAGGCCAGGGAGCAGCGTGTCTCTGCAGCCACCCCAACTCTTGACTTCCAAGAGGGAGGGGCTGGAAGCACATGAACATGTCCCTGTGAAGCATATTCCAGCATTCTCTTTGCTGTGTAATATAAAAAGTGCATGGTTTTTATGTATTTATCCTCACCTGAAGATATTTTTTGTTCAGATAGAGTGGGAGAGAGAGAGAGGAAGAGAGAGATAGAGAGAAACATCAATGTGAAAGGGACACATCGAGTGGCTGCCTCCTGCACGACCAACCAGGGCCGGGGACAAACTGCAACCGAGGTACATGCCCTTAGCGGGAACCGAACCCCGATCTCTCTGGACCGCAGGCTGACGCTCTAACCGCTGAGCCAAACCAGCCAGGGCAAAGGCGCATGTTTTTAATAAAGGTAGACAAGAAACACAAAGGTCATGGGAGAGGTTGAAATAGTTACGTCCAGGGCCGGGAGAAACATCTGGTCCCAGGAGTATATGCAGGCCACTGCCCTGGCCTTCTTACCCTAGCCTCCCTCAAACACACTAGTCACACCTTATCTGTGGACCACAGGTTTGAATTCCCAGGAAAGAAAAATGGTGTTCCCCTCAGAAACAACCCTGCCCTCATTTCCGGTGGTTTAGAATGCCCAGCTGTGTGTAGATACCACCCCTGGGCCCCAGTGGAGCTCAGGGTGGGGTGAGGAGCAGCAGACCGCGTTCCATCTGACCATCAGACTTGCCAGTAATGTGTTGTGTAACTCCAGGCAAATTGCTTCACCGGTCTGGTCCCTGGTTCCTTATCTGTAAAATGAGGGCCACACCCTAAATAATCTCAGAGGCTCTGGGATTCCTCAGAGGGGGCCAATGTGGGTGCAGGGCCCAGACCTCCTCCTGGGAAGGGTTTTCTGAAGGAGTAGCCGATGCCTGGAACAGTAGGAGGGAGGCCAGGCCGGTGGGAGAGAGCAGGCCAGAGAGGGAGGGAGGGATTGAAAAAGAAAGGGAGCCCCACCCCACACTGCTGAGCCTCCAGCACCCTCCCTCCCTGGGGAGCAGCACAGGGCTTCTTGGGTACTCCTGATCGTTGGGCTGGGAGGAGACCACATCCACCATGTGGTCGGTTTGCCCAAGGCCAGCATCGATTTCATCTCTTCTCTCAACCACCAGTCTCCTCCCGTGTCCTTCTGTACTGTCTGCCATCCTTACCAAATATCAGGAGGCCGCGGCCCTCTCTACAGACCCAGAGGTTTAGACTTTTGCTTAGAGGGTGACCCCTGTAGGCTGGCAGCCTGCCACCCAGCCTGGACTCTCTGGGACAGGGGAGACAGTCTGTGGCTGAAGCACGCTCCTAACTGTGGGAGAGGCTGCCCCTGAGCCCAGGCCGCCCTCTTCCGTGGCTTTCCCAGCACTGGGTGGAATTATGGCGTGTTAAATGGGCCAGATTCTCTGCTCGCCTGGGACCAAAAAAAACTGTTCTTATTCTAATGCCCGGGAAGAGCGAAGTGCTAGGCCCGTGCCTGGGCTTCCCAGAGTCCCGGCTCTTTCCTTCCTGCCTGCACAGTCCTCCCGGCCCTCGGGAGTCACTTGTCTTTGTGTCTGGAGGTGGGGAGCCCCCAGGCACTCCAAATGGAGCCTTCTCATTGGCTGTTGATGATGTCATCACCTCCCAGGTCGACCTTCCCCAGCTGATACCCAGCGCTAATTGCTCCGCTTAATTTTATGTGGAAATTAAGTATTGTGACTCCCCAGAGACATAAGAGCCAGCGCGGTGGCTGTGACTCGTCTGGGCGTGTTGGCCCCCTTCGTTATTTGGGGGCAAATCCTCATGGGGCTTGAGGGTCGCTGTGGCTCCCCAAGGTCCCGGCCCTGGCCGGCTGTGATCTGGGGGAAGCGACTAACGTAGCCCCTCTGCCCGCCCAGGTCCACCTCCGACGTCGGCAGCAAAACGAGGATGGGCGAGTCCGCGGGGCCCGAGCCCGCCCATCTGCACGACAGCGCCTCCTTCGCGCAGGTGTCCAGGGGCCCGGTGTCCGTGGCGCAGCTGGATCAGTCGGCTTTAAATTACTCAGGTGAGTGACAGGAGGAAAGCCTGCAAAAAGCCCGCTTCGGACCGGCCGCACAGAGCCCCTCGACCCCCGCCGTACCGCTAAATCCGCCCTCCACCTTCTGCCTGCCACCCTCCGGAACCCAAGCGACTGCGTTTCTGGAGAGCTACTGCTTTTATTTCTTAAAAAGATCTGAAAATCTGACAAAACATTAAGATATGTTACAGTCAGGGTATATGTTAACATTTTGCCAGATTTCAGGTTTTACAAAAGTTATTATATATTTTTTAGAGCATTACAGATATAACTTCCACCCCATCTCACTCCCCTTCTCCCCAGAGGGAATCACAGTCCTTAAGTCCTGACTATTAACCTTTTCCTGCGTATATACGACAGGACATATCAGCAATTTTCAACCTTTTTATCTCATGGCACACATAAACTAGTCACTAAAATTTTGAAGCACACCAAATATATATATATATTGCCAGTCTGACAACAAAAAAAAAGATATACTGTTAATTCACACCAGGACAGCTATTGTGTTGGCTGTTGTGATTTTTTCATTTGACAATAAATAATCAGGCCTTGCATGTTTTAACATCTTTTTTTTTTTTTAATCCTCAACTGAGGACATTTTTCTATTTTTTTTGTTCAGATAGAGTGGGAGGGAGAGAGAGAAACATCGACGTGAAAGGGACACATTGAGTGGTTGCCACCTGCACGACCCAACCAGGGCCGGGGACAAACTGCAACCGAGGTACGTGCCCTTAGCGGGAACCAAGCCCAGGTCTCTCTGGACCACAGGCCGACGCTCTAACCGCTGAGCCAAACCGGCCAGGGCAGGCATTGCATGTTTTAAAAATTCTTGCAGCACAACAGCTGAAAACCGTTGGAATATATTAATATGTATATATTGGAATAGTTATGTATTTTACATATACATAAGTGATGACAAGCTATACATTTCCTTTTGCACTTTGTTTACTTGATTCAACATTGTTTTTAAGATTTCTCCAGGTTGCTGGATACATATGGATCTAAACTGCCATGTGGTATTCTATTACATGATATGTCACAGCTTATCCTTTCCCTAGTGAGGGACAATTGGTTGTTTCCAATTTTTTATGATTACAAACAATGCTGGAATGAACACGGAGGTCTGTACATGCCCTGATTTTGTTTGTTCATTTATTTATTCAAACCTTACCTTTCAGGCTAAAACTGCAAGCACCCAGTTGTTAGCACTCATTCAAGCATTCACTGTGTCCAGACATTTCACTGGTGGATTCCATTCCTTTGATTGATTTTCTTGGCTCTTTAAAAAGATCTATCCTTCCCTGGCCGGTTTGGTTCAGCGGTTGGAGCATCGGCCTGCGGACCAGAGTCCCGGGTTCGGTCCCCACTAGGGGCAGGTACCAAAAAAAAAAAAAAAATCTATCCTCCTAGGAAGAAAACACCTGGGCACTGAGGTGTTCTTTCCTCTTGTCAGCAGGCTGAAGTGTTGGGCTGGGGCTGGGGGAGTTGGTGAGGGCTCAGTGAGGGGAGCCGAGCGATCATTTCTCTAGAGAGACAGGTCTGCGTCGCAGCAGATTATGCCTTTCATACTGACTGGGCTGGTGAACAAGACCGAGGCTACAGGTGGAGCCCCCACCCCCACATGGCCAACTCCCCCGGGCTAGAGCTCCCCGTTTCCCAGCTTGCCCAGCTTGTGCAGATGCCAGTCGAGCGGGTGGGGTGCTAAGCTCTCCCATGCCTCTCCTCCACGCCAGGTAATACGGTGCCGGCAGTGTTCGCCATCCCAGCTGCCAACAGACCGGGCTTCACTGGCTACTTCATCCCGACACCCCCCTCGTCCTACAGGAGCCAGGCCTGGATGTCCTGTGCAGGAGAGCACGAGCTCCCGGGCCAGTGGGCCGATTCGGTGAGACCCCCGCTGACTCCCTCACGTTTTCTGCCTGACACACTTCAGGGAGAGAGTGGGTGAGAGGTGGAGACTGACAGTGTCATCTCTGCCCCACTTCCACCAACCAGATGGCAAAGCCAGCCATTTTAAAGGTGACATGGTAAGATGGATTGTCCTTTGGTAGAGGAAGTTGAGACCTGCCAGGTTCGACCTCTTCCCAGCAGGGCAACCTTAGTCAAATAAACTTTTATAAGAGCTACCATTTGGGGGATATTTTCTTACGTGCTAGACACCATGTTAGATATTTGATTTATACGATCTTTTTTCATCTTCACAGCCATCCTATCAGGTAGGTGTTATTATTCCCATGATGTGTCCCACTTTGCTGATGAGGAAACTGAGGCCTAGTCCAAAGCCACGCAGCTTTTGTGAGGCGCTGTGGCCAGAATTCCAACCTGTCTCTGGCTCCAAAGCCTTTTTAAATTTGTTCCTCTAGCTTTAAAATTCTGTAAAAAAATGTCGATGAAATACCCGAAAATGAAGTATTAGAAACTCAAGACTGAATTACTTTGCATGTACCTCCTAAGGCTGTCTGCCAGACTTTCAGCTGAGGACTGTCTTGTCATCGTCCCCTGGTTTCTCCCGTCTTTATAATGAGGAGTATGTGGCTCAGTGGACCTGGCCAAGCCTGGACAAAAGAGGGGCAGCAACCCTGGCTGGTTTGGCTCAGCGGTTAGAGCGTCGGCCTGCGGACCAGAGAGTCCCAGGTTCGGATCCCACTAAGGGCATGTACCTTGGTTGCAGTTTGTCCCCGGCCCCGGTTGGGGTTGTGCGGGTGGCAACCAGTCGATGTGTCTCTGTCACATCGATGTTTCTCTCTCTCTCTTCACCCCTCTCTCCCTCCTGCTCTATCTGAAGGTAAATGCAAAAAATGTTCTTGGCTGAGGATTTAAAAAAAAGAGGGACAGCAACCAGATGCATCTGGATAGTCACATCCAAACCTGCCTCTGAGTCACCTGTCAAGGGCTGCTAAGTGAAAAATAATAATAAAAACAAACAAACAAAAAACAGGGGGGGGGGGAGCACATCTGATGGACCCTGGAGTGGGTTGCTCCAATCCCTGTGTGAGACCATCCTACATGGATAGGAAAGGCAGGCTGTCTCTCCAGGCTGAACCTGAGGACCCCCAGTACTGTGTGTTATTATTATTTTTCTTTATTGACGTTAGAGAGAGAGGAAGGAAGAGGGAGAGAGAGATAGAAGCATCAATGAGAGAGAATATCCATGGGCTGCCTCCTGCATGCCCCCCACTGGGGATCAGGCCCACAACTTGGGCATGTGCCCTGACAGGGAATGGAACCGGTGACTTCTTTTTTTTTTTTATCATCCTCACTCGAGGACATTTTTCCATTCCTTTGTTCAGGTAGAGTGGGAAGGAGAGAGAGGAAGAGAGAGAGAGAGAGAGAAACATCGATGTGAAAGGGACACATCGAGTAGTCGCCACCTGCACAACCAACCAGGGCAAGGGACAAACCGCAACCGAGGTATGTGCCCTTAGCGGGAACCGAACCCGGGTCACTCCGGACGCTCCAACCGCTGAGCCAAACCGGCCAGGGCGGAACCGGTGACTTCTTAATGCATGGGTCAACACTCAACCACCGAGCCACACCGGCCAGGCATGTGTGTCATTTTAGGGTTTAGTCTCAGCATTTGAAATCCATTCTAGAGTTAGGAAACATGTTGACACCCAAGGCCTGAGTCCCCCCCGGGCTCCACACTTTCCACCCCTACAGATTCAACTCAACCTTAGAGTTGGTACCTATTCTTATTGCAGTGATGGCCCATCTAAACATCATCATGGGGGGGGGGGGTGTGAATTTATTCTATATATACTAATTTTCCTGGTGATCAAAGCTTACCCCTTACTTTCTAAAATATTTTAAAATATATGTCATCTTTTATTTGGAAAATTCTGGAATGAATTCTATCCTTCCAACTCCTTTAAAAGAGAAACATAATTTAATTTGTCTTTAGAAAATGATTCAGCGTCATTATCATGGCTCACTGTACTAAAACGGCATGTGTCAGATGGTCTCTGACCGTTGTAGGTTTATTGCCCCCATCAGATATCTCCAAAGTACTAGAATTTTTAGATTATAGCACTTCTGTTGGATGGATTCTGCTTATACTAAAAAGGTGGCCGGGTAGATTCAGATGTAGACTCGGGTAAATTCCTACCGGCATATCCAGTGAATTCAAATGACCTATATTCTAACTCCAGGTTTTGTATCTATACAATGGTTTTCTTCTGAATCTTTTTCCTTGTTCTCAATCCACGCCTGCTTTCAGTGTCAGGTGTATCCTATGACTTGAGCCCCTTCCTGATCCCAGGCCCTCTCCTCTCTCCAACTTCTCTGCAGGTCCCCCTCCCAGGCTACATCGAGGCCTACCCCCGGTCACGTTATCAGCAGAACTCTCCCTCCAGGCTTCCTCGCCAGTACAGCCAGCCAGCCAGCATGCACCCCAGCTTGGAGCAGGCCCCTGTGCCCTCCACAGCCGCCTCCCAGCAGAGCCTGGCAGAAAACGACCCTCCCGACACACCCCTGACCAACATCTCCACAGCGGCCCTCGTAAAGGCCATCCGGGAAGAGGTGGCCAAGCTGGCCAAGAAACAGACGGACATGTTTGAGTTCCAGGTCTAATGCCTTAGCCCCATGGGACTTCCCGACTGTGAGGAAAGAGTTTTGGGGCTTGTCAAGCCTAATGTGTTGGGACTTGAGGCATAGACTGTGGGTGAGTCCTCCTCATCCTTAGTTTCTGACAAGGTGAACAGTGGGGCTTCTGGGAAACAGGAAACTCTTGAACAACTGGATTCTCAGCCTGTTCAACTGATTGTATGTCAAGAAGTCCCTGCTTGGGACCGTGTGTTTGATATTCTGTTATAGTAAATGTTTTCCCTATGGAGCCTTAGTCTCGAGAGACACTCGCTAATCTGCAGATTCCTGTTCAATGCCACATTTCAATAAGTCACCGAAAGGTGGAGGACAAAGCTCTGTCTTTGGTGGCCCTGCATGTCGCTCTGTTTCTGTGTTAAAGGCAATGCGGGCGTGTGATTAAGCACCAGACCTTACTCTCTCTCATTCAGCCATGACTGTAATTGTTAAAATCACCTCCAGTCTGTAAAGGAGACACTGACTCCAGCCAAGAAATGCGAGTCCTTTTCTTTTGAAGATTCATGTTCCAAGTCAGATGCATTGGATGACAATCAGTGCTATCAATGACTGTATCTATAAATGGTCCTGATGCCTGCCCCCTCCGCCCCATTAATTAAGCAAAAGCCAAGAAAGAGAGAAGATGAGAGGGAATGGCTGGTTTGTGTTGACGGGTTTTTGAAAAGGTGGTGTTATTCTGGAACCGGAGTAGCCTGCAAGGCGGAATCTAACCAAAAGAGAAGCGGTACTAAGAGCTTTCAGGATCCTACAAAAGAAAAACAGTTATTGGTGGAGCTTCTTCTTTGTCCTACAATGAAGGTGGCCCGAGAACAAAGCTTCTCTTTCTCTTTGGGGATAACAGATACATTGACTTTTAGGAGAAAAAATCTCCGTCCCTGCAACAATGATGTCCAGCCTGGGCTGCCGAGTGATACGAAAGGAACTAGTCATTGATGCCTGCCAGAAGCAGCAATAGTGGATCCGGTCTCCCCAGCCTGCAGCCTCTGAAGCTTCTGAATATAGAAAACCTGTTGATTTGCGTTTAAATGTAAATAACCTTTTAAAAAGTGTATGGAGGTAGCCAATCCCCTTCCTCCCCACTCCCTGTGGTTAATGAACACTGGAGGACATTTGCTGAAATGGCAGGGCTGTTGACCTTGGGAGGGTGATGTTGCAAGTCACCCCCCTGCAGTGGCCAGTCGGCCTCCAGGGCTCTGGGTGCGCAGCGTCTCGCAGCCTGAGGCATCTGCCGCAGACGGGGCCTCGGGGAGAAAAGGCCAGTCTTCTCACCAGCTTTGGGGGCCCATGCATGACACCGAGAGCTCACTTGGTTGTTGGAGAATAAGGTCCGGTCCTGCCTTCATCCAAGACCCATCTCGCTTCAGCTGTATCCATTGCCCAAGCCCATCTTCCCATTCTCCTCATGAGTTTCTTTGGTCTTTACTGAGAGAAGGTGGAAATTTAAAAGTTGAGAGAAGAGTAGGAACGGAACTGGTTAAAGTGGGAGATTCAAACTGACAAAGCACAGACTTTTCAAAGAAGCGGTTTTTATTTCCCAGGGGCAAATTGCTCTTCCTGGGATGTTCCGGAGCTGATGCATCATGGAATTCCCCAAAAGCCTCTTGTTTGGCTGATCTTAGGTAGTGTCTTTGGTATGCTGGTTGATATTTCATAGTGTTAGTTTTTTGTTACTTAAAAAAAAAAAATCAGCTATAAATAAAATGTATTTTTGTAATTTTCACATGTATATATGGTATATTTCTACCAATGGCCAGTTGTAATCCCAAACCTAAATCAGCTTGCAAAACACTGTGGACAGTGCAAGATTTTATCGACAGATTAACACAATGCCTAAGTCTATCCAAATTGGTATTCAATGCACTTGAATGAACAAAGAGCCAAAGAAACTCAGCCTTTTCATGCAAATGGTATGAGTCTGATAAAGTCAGCTACATTGTCCCGCCTTATCAATAATATTAATATTTCATCAGTGCAATGACATCAACCCAGTACTTTGTCTACTTGGTAAATGCCTGGAAATGTTGTATGTGAAAATGAAGTTATAAGATCTTAGTGTAATTAAAATATGTGCACATGCTTCAAAGACAGTGTCTGAGCTTTGGATGTGCCAGTGACTAAGAGAACGAGCCTTCGGCTCCAGCTTGCTAAGAGGATGGAGAAACAAGTCATTGAGGTCTTTACTGAACCCATGAAATACCGAGTTAGTCAGCTGAGACACAGCATGCTTAATCAGAGACTCCCTTAAACTAGACACCACCACTTTAAGAAAGTATATGGAAGGAAAACCTTACATTGAAAAGAGGTCAATCTGTTCATGGTTTCCCACTCACGGGGAGACAGCGCCATTGTTTGATATTCTATGACTAAGATGTGGTCTCCTCTGTAAGGAGTCTCCTGATCTCACGGAGGTGACAGATACCTGGACAACTGGCTCAGAGAAAAGGCAAATGGTCAAAAGTGCTTCATGGAAGTTAAAATAGAGTTCCATGAGAGCCCAGAGGTTTTGTGTTCCTCATGACCCTCCAGACAGTTGGGGAAGCCTCCAGGATCCTGGTGACCTCGGAGAAGGAAGCAGGAGTCCTGAGAAGAGAGCGACCTGCCCAGGATTCCAGCCCCGCCTGCTGATTCATGATCCGACCTGCTCCCCACTTCACCACGCTGCCTGCGTGCTTGTCTGTGGTTTCTTGAACTATGCTAGGAAATTTAAAAGGTAGACAAGGGTCATATGAGACATTTCCTAAGTTCTTTGGAAGAAAAAAGACGATCGAATATGTAAAGAACTTCAGATGCAGTATATAGAGGACAATGCATATGTGGCATAATAAACATTTTTGGAATTCGTTTTGATGTGAGTTTTCTGCATTCAGAAAAGAAATGCATGTTGGCTTCTTCTAGAGCGTACCATTGAGGAAATGGTGTTCTCAACTGCTGTTCAAGACTAGGGGTATGTTCCTCTCAATGCTATGTATTCAAACAGGGGGCGGGGGACTGTGGCAGCCTGTCATTGTGAGGTAGCAGGTTCCATGCTCTGCCTTGGGGTGGCAGCCCCGTGGTGCGGGAAGTCTGTTGTGTGTCCTGGTACCTGTGATCTGAGATGGAGTGTCACCCATGGAGCAGGAAGTTGAGTGTGCCATGGACTGAATGCTTGTGCCCCACCCCCACCAGTTCATGTCGAAATCCTAAGAGGTGGGGCCTTGGGAGAGACTTAGGTCATGAGTATGGAGCCCACATGAATGGGATTAGTGCCCTTATAAAAGGGACCCCCCCCCCCAAGAGCTCTCTTGCCCTCTTTTCTGCTTGTGAGGATAAAATAGGAAGTTGGTGGCTCTCACCAAAACCCTACCAGGCTGGCACCCTGATCTGAACTTCCAACCTCCGGAACTATGGGAAATAAATTCCTGTTGTGTACATGCCGCCCAGTCTGTGGTACTTTGTTACGGCAGCCTGAGCTGACTAAAATGGGGTGGGCTGTGTAAGAATCAGTCCTCTGGACCCAGGAGAAGTCACGTGGTGCATTTGTTAATTTAGGAATTCGGCGGAAAGACGTAATTTCTGAGCCACCTCGATGGAAGAACAGATAGGATATTATTAGGTTTGTGATTAAAAAAAAAAATTTCTGCGAGAGAGTGCAGATGGAGGAGAGGAATTTAAATACCTGACTAAAGGAAATGCTTCTCTAACAGGCAGAAATTAGGGAAATGGATCAAAGATTTTAATATCGATTACAGATAAAGAAGCTGCTTTTTTCCTACATAACACACAAGCACTCAGTGCTTAACAAATAAAATGACAGCTATTATCTTAAAAGTTTGAGGACAGAATTTAAACGTAATCCATTCCTTCTGCCACACACCAGGAAGCAGTGGGCTTCCTTACGGAGCACGGCCTAGCACTCAGGGAAAGAGCAGCAAAGCTTGGAGGAGTGGCCGTCCACGGTATTAGAATTAAATTCTGCCCGTGGGTCAGCCTTACAGGAACATTCTTTGTAGTCAAGCTACTTTGCAAGGACTAGAAACCCACTCATACGTGCCAGTTCACACTTTCAGAGGTACAGGGCCATTGGCTGAAGGTACAGGGCCATTGCATAGAAACAAACCACAGCCCCCATATGGGAAAGGGATGGAGACAGCATCTTCTCTTTTGCTCTCATGTTCTCTCCTGTGGGCTTTACCTGTGTTTCTCTCTGCGTAGCTGCTCAGTTCTCTGCTTCCCTTGGCCTGCTAGCTTTCTGTGTTCTCAGTGGTGGATGCACAGCTGAAAATGCACCCCTGGACCCACTCCACACTCTTTCCTCTTTCGTACCCATCCCTCTCTGACTCCCATCTCTACGCCCCTAGGGCCAATTCTCGAGAGTCTGATTGGTCCAGTTCATCTGCCTGTGGATCAGGCACCCTTGGTCGGTGTCTATCCCGTCAACTGTAACAAGGAGGCAGGGTCATGTAATAGGAACATGGCCCCTTGGACTGGCCTCTCAATGAAAGCTTTTGTTGGGGGCTAGTACCCAGAGGAGGGAGCATGAATGGACAGGATCTTCAAAAGGAATCTGCTACAGACTGGAATTGACCAGTATTCCTAGGATGCCACCAACGAGTGTGAAGTCCCCATGGGTACTGCCACAGACAGACAGCATCCTTGACTTGCACATCAGTGAGAATGCATGAGCTTGAAACCTTGGCGGACTAGCCGGACCTCCTGCAACCACTTCCTACTCACCACCAGTGCTATAGATTCTGCTGCTGTGTCTCAGAGTGATTTCTGACCAAGGCCCAGTTAGCACAATGTCTTGCTCAGCAGACAGTAAATACTTGTACATGGAAATGCATGATCTCAGCTCAGGTGCTATTAATGTGGCAAACGGCCACACACTTGCATGGATGAGAAAACCCATGAGCTCTCAACAGAGTCTTTTGAAACAAAATTAGTTTCAAGGGAAATTGATGTTCTCATGGCTCTGCCCTTCCAAATAGAGTATGTTAGTGTTCCCAGGAATTGATAAGTATCTTGATTTCGTAAGGTGAA